AAAGCAAATGGAAATCTCATAGACCTTTTAATGCTTTTTTATATTCTTTTCGCTAATCCAGAAAATAGGTGTTGCCATTTTAAGAAACTAAGGCATTTATGTTATAGGTTAATTCTTTATTTTCAATAGTCTTTGGTAATAAATTATGTACTCTGTATCTCATTCGACCTTATCTTACTACTGCCTTACCTATTTACTCTTTCCTCCGCCCTTTCTTCTCCTTTGATTCCTCTCATCTTGCCACTCCTACTCCAATATTCTATAAAAGGAAAGGCTTTATAAGGTTTATTTTTTCTTAATCACGATCGAGCTTTTTCTGACTATCGCCCGATTTCCAAACAAGTGTCTGAGGGTGATCGGAAATTTAAAAGGGCAAAATAGGCGCAATAATTCGTCTTTTGGAATAACCATCTCTGAATCCGTTACTTCCTAAATAAATAAAAAGGCAAAATACGAAATGCGAAATGATGTACTATTCTGTTATTTCTTTATAAATTTTATTTTAGTCTTTTATTCTTTTCTGCTGCATAAACCTTATAAATATGAATAGCTTCTTTTGTGTTCTTTCTGCTTCCATGTACTTTTCTAGATTATTGAGAAAGAACATTTCTTATTTTGGTAATATCCTGCTCTTTTCTTTCTTCTTTTTTAACCTCAGTTGACTAATTTATGCGGTTTGTGACCATGGTAACTGTTACCATGACTTGTTCTGTATCGTTCTAAAGGAAAGAAGAATGGCTGTGTAAAATCTGATAATTTTTGGGAAATATGACTCTGATCAAAAGAATGGTAAATGTATTAGAAAATTAAAATGCGTTTATACTTTTGCCATCGTGTTTCCTTACTTTACTTTGCGTTCTTTTAAACATTTGTAGACTATATAAATATTTTAGTATTGTGAGATTTACAGCTATTTGCTGTTTCAGTTGATACTGTCTATACTTTCTCTAGTAAAATCTCATCTATCCCGCTTTTAGAAATGCATGATACCATCGTACTTTTTCTATTATTTATAACATGACTCTTCATGAATATCGGGCACTCTTTTCCTTATGATTCCTTTTGATCACCATACTCTGTTATTCAATTCTCAATTGACGCTTGAGATGCAAAAAAGAAGAATGCTGTTCAAGTAGTTATGCAACAGTTACACAGGTGCATAACCATTCTTCATTTGAGTCCTATAAGAAGATAAACAGTTTGATATTATTGAATGAGTGAATGGGGTCTTTTGAAGCAAATAATAGAAATCATAAACATTAGTCATGTTACAAACTATTTGCCCTCTGACTTGCCCCTTGATAGTCTTTATCGAATTGAAGCAAACCATATGCACGAGTTATGGAATAATGTAAAATGACGATGTGAAAGTTGCAATTACAAAAGATAAATAAAGTGAATACATACCCAAGCTTATAATACAAGCAGAACAAGCCGAGTGTATATATTGAACTCTCTCTGTACAACAGAAAAAGAGTAAACATCGAATCTAGTGAGATATAATTTAATTGGTTGTATTCATGAACATTCCATTACAGAAAGTGAGAGAGAGAAGAGGTCTTTGAACTATAGAAATATAAAAAGTCTCATCAAAGTTAGTTCTACGAAAGCATCATTGAATGTAACAAAATTGTCGGTAGCCGATACTGAAGCACTTTAAGAGATCATTAGAGTAAATATACACTTTACAAGCAGTAACAAGCGTATTCTGGCGAATCACTACCACTAGTTGCATAATAAAGATAGTGTCTTTCACCATAGCTAATTTGTTCACCTTTAGTAAACTAATTCGAGATGGTGAAACGAATAAAATAGACTTTTTCTTTATTTGGTTAGCGAGTAAGCTATTATCTAGATTGTAAAGATTCAAATTTACAAGCATTCCAATTCGGTTAATAACTTCTCTATATCGCAGACAATTGAATTTTAGATATATTCTTTTAATAAGAGATATGCAGCTTCATCAGCTTGAGTTTTTATCTGAACAGATGCATAAACCCAACTTGCATTCATAGTAAATGGGATCTCAATTGTGTTGACTTGGAGTGAGCCATAGTTTGGTTGTTTGAGCAAGTTCAAATGCTCGCTCTCTGAATCTGTAGTTATTTGTGCATGATTCCAGTGTGTTGCGACCACTTCAAAATTTAGTAGAAAGAAGGAAAGGGATAATCCTAAACTAGGACGTCATTGCTTTATGATATACTAGTCCTCATTCATGTCTTTCTATACTGAATGTGAGCTGATTTTTTTCCATTATGTCATGTACTTTAATTTTATCGTAAACTCTCTTGTTTTTGTACAATTTTTCAGAATGCATGCATCAGTCAGGTTTGCCTTTTATTAAATATTGCCTAAGGCGCTCAGAAAAATAGAAAAAAGGTGCAACTAGCTATGAACTCCATAGCTACGATTATTCTCTAGGAATCTGTTACTCATACAAATAGTTATTCTTCAAGGATATAGGATGACGATGGAGCCTTTTTTCTAATAAAAGAAACAGCTATAGTTCTATATACATAGCAAATGTATACTAGCTGTAAAATAACCTTTTTTTTCAATCATTATTTATTGACATGCATAAATAGAATAAAAAATATTCAGGTACGATTTATTTATTTATGCGACCCATATTCGGCACAGACACTATTTTTTTTTCCTTTTTTTTTTTTTACTTTAATTCATGGAATCCGATAAAGATACATTTCATGTTGTCATTAAACTGCCATTCCCAAGACCAAATGACTTTGCAGAACCACCTTCAGTAAGCCCTTCTTTTGTCTTTTCTTTCCTTGTTTTATTAACTGCTTTCTCATTTTGCTTGAATAGATTGTTTGGACCGAAGAAATGGAACATCAACTATGGAAGCACATGAGTCAGAAAAGCAAAGACTGTAGGATAACATTTCATAATATAGAGCCAAAAAAGTTCAATAACGTCCATTCTGTAGGGAATGCGATTGCAGAACAGTTGGGTATACCCACACAGTATGTTGTTCGTCATGCGGCCTTCATTTATGAAACTCAGCTGAGAGGAATACAGCAACAGTTACGGTTGAACGTTGGAAGAACAAAGAGCCCTGTTGTGAATAAATCGAGACCACGTAAAGGATAATCTCTGTGATTGATAGCTGTATTTCTTTACTCATATATTATTCTCTTCCTCATCAATTAAATATAGCATCTATCAGATATTCCGATACAATTCAGTATAATGAATTGCCTCAGGAAAACAGACAAACCTCTGACTCTTTGTTGCTATCAAAAATATCCACCATAGCACCTCGTTTACAAGAGTCAGAAAATCAAGACAGTTCATTAATAGAAGAGCAACCCATAGAAAATCAAGAAGAAATCGAAGAAGACGACCAGGATATTACAAATCAATTGGAGAAAGTCCAAATAGAAGAAGAGCCCGCATTTTTACCACGTAGATCAATGAGTAAAACAATGAGTAATAGCAGTAGATTATCACTGTCTATTCAAAATCTAAAAAAGACTATTACGCCCCAACAACAACAACAACAACAGCAACAGCAACAGCAACAATTACCACAGTCCCCTCAAATAGTAACCGCATCAAGCTCAAATAACCCAAGTGCGCTCAACTCGGTGGGGTCCTCCTTTAGCGATCTATCAGGTCAGTTCATACATATTCTTAAAGTTACCTATTTACATAATATTTTATTATATACAGATTCATCAGTCACTCAATCAGCTTTGGAGGATGCATTTATGTCCAAGTTTAATCAGGGATCAAAAATGTAGGTTGAGTGTTTTGTCAATATAAGACTGACTGTGTTTATTATAGGTCATTACTAAACTTTTCTCGTAAATATAAAGAATAATGTTTGATATATTTTATTGTTCCAAAGAATAAATAAAAGCATGTAATGTCTTTAAAGAACTACATGAATGATTTAAATTTACACGCACATTGCCTACCCATCAACAAGCAGGCCAGTGACCACCTTTCTAACTTGTTTCTATATTAATAACATACTAAAAGAGCACTTCAAAGTGCTTTTTCTTAAAAAAATGTCCATTCGAGGTCACCGAAAATGACAAGTGTAAAGTCGGCAACGAATTAGGTACAAACAATAAAGGGATTACAGAAAATAAATAGGATAGAGGTGTCGTTCAACTTCTGTCCAGGTTACTTGCGTAACTTTATAAAGCTCTCAATTACAAAAACGGGGAGAAAGACGACGCTTATTGATAGTAGTAACAAAGTGCATTAAACCATTGAAATGTATCACCTTAGATGTGATGCTTCTTCAAACATGGGACATAAAATACGCTGGAGCAGGTATAGTAGTTGCCCTTAACAGCCTTGTAAGGGACAGCTAAATGACAACTCAAACTTCTTCGTCTTGGGAGAGAAAAAAAATGATATAGAAAGCTTGTTTTATGAATAACACGAGCATGCTTGTCTTTTTTTACGTTCTTTGCTGTACATTTTCTCCAATATCAAGATTAACGCCAAAATATTCACCCTCTTCTTTCACTGTAAAGAGGTTCAGACTCTTCTGTTATGTCTTCCACCAGGAAACTAGGAAAATGAAGCGGATAATAGGTTAAAGATTATACAATGCACTAAAAGTAACTCTGAACAAAAAATGTATTCTATTGGTGGCTTAAAAAGGTACACTGTGTAAAATGAGAGAGCTGCGAGAATATCATTCATTATAGTATTATTTAATGATGAATTGCGGATAGTTCAGTTGCAAAGTAGACTTGGGATTCTGGCAATGATGCTCACAACAACAATAAGTCAACCATATCACCATGAAGATTTTTTTTTTTACTCTTCATTGTTGATAACTGCTTTATTTACAAAAAATTCAAGTTATCATTTTCATTATTTATTTCTGCTTCTTAGGAACTTCCCATTCAGAGGCAAGAATCTTGTTGATTTCTTCATCCTTGACAGTCTTATCAGTTTGAACCTGAACAGCGTCAAAGCGAGGGTTGGTAACCATGACATTACCCTTCTTGGTAACAAAGAGGGTAGTCAAGTATTGAGCAACAAAAGCACCTTCACGTTCATAAACAACGTCATAAGGTAAAACAGTTTGGTGCTTGGCACATTCGACAATACCCATACGAGCCTTGCGTTCGTCTTCGAGGTCACGAAGAGAGAAAGGGAAAGAGCCGGCCTTGGTTTGGATTTCAGAGAGAACGGCACGAGAAGCAGCCATCTTGAGTTGATAACGGATATCGGTCTTCTTGTAGATGGTTGTACGTGTCTTCAATGGACGAACCTTGCCTTCACCACTGGAGATGAGGATATCGACACAGTAAACTTCGTTTTCGCCAAATTCACAACGCTTGAATCCACTCATTTGGGCTTCAGTAGGGTTCAAGATAATTTGCTTGTCGCCGTCGGTCTTGTTCTTGAGTTGGTTGTGACTCAACATACCTTCGACAGGCTTGACTTCATAAGATTCAGCAATCTTATCAACAGCCTTGGTGACGTCCATGTTCTAAGAAAGAATCAGTTTTCTGTAGAGTTCCTTTATTCTATTTTTACTTGCCTTGTTACCAGGACGGATCATACGGACGGCAGCTTCGAGAGCGGTACGAGCAGCTTGGATCACGTCAGCCTTGGCACCAGTAACAGCACCATTAGCGCCAACAACAACGGTAGTGGCAACAGTAGAGCAGTAACCATCGAATTGAACACCCAATTGGCTAAAAGAAACAGTTTAGACCAATATCAATCATACATTATAACAAAAAACTTACATCTTGGCAACATCACCTTCCTTCAAGGTAGCTTCAGATTCAGGGTCAGAAGGAAGAGGACTGAAGTGAGCAACACAGTTGTTGACAGAGACGGTGGTAGGGAAACCAATACCTATATTTATCAAAAAAAAAAAAAAAAGACAAGTCAATTTCCCAGCCACAGTATAGTATATTATTATTATTATTACCCTTGGAGATCTTCTTCTTTCCCTTCTTATTGTAAACAAGACTGGTAGCTTCCAAGATAGCTTTGTCACCAGCAGTACAAATATCGATGATCTTGGCACCAGCAACACAAAGCTTGATAACCTTGTCAAGGACCTCTGCAGTATAATTTAGTAAAAAACACACACACACTTACGCGAGCACGCGTAAACACATTTTTATATTGTTACCATCGGCAATACGACCCGCTTCCTTGTACTTGGACTGAACGTTGCTGTCAGAAATGTCGAGGACAGGTTCGGTAACGGGCTTCTTGACTTCAGTAGTATCGGCCATTATGACAGGAATAAAATATGAAAAAGAAAAAGGGATTTAAAAAAATATTTTTTTTCTGTAGTGTTGCTGTGTGTGTGTGTGCGTATATGTGCTGGATAAAGCAAGTCACTTTCGAAAATTTTATTACTTCTCCTTTATGTCACTCAGGGTTTTTAAACTCTGCATTGTTTGCTTATATTGAGCATTCTCCTTTTATTATGCCAAAGAGTCCAAAAACAACACAGGTTACTATACAATTTCAATAGGCGGGGGAAGAGCTTTTATTAAAGAAAAAAAATCTAGAATTTACATGTGCGGTAAAAATAAGGGTGTTGTTGTTGTTGTTGTCGTTGTGTGTTGATATAATTTACTTTTTGACCTTTTGTTCCAAAAATTCCTTTGCTTCATTAATCTTTAACGCTAAGAAAGGTGATCCTCCTCGATCAGGATGGTTTAACAACATGATACGTCTGTGAGCTTCCTTTATTTTGGCTTTAGTTGCTTGAGATTCTCTTTTTTTATAGTTATTATATTATCCAAAAAACATAATTCATTCATATTTACCTAAGCCCAAGAATCAGAGCAGCTTCTCTTTTATTCATCTTTGGGTCGAAGCCTCCTTTGTAGAATTTTGAAAGTCTTGGTGCTTTTGGCATCTTTTGATATTCTTGAAATGCTCTTAAACCGAGTCGTGCTGCGGTAGCTGCACCAGCAACGGCAAAGCCAACAATAACTGGAGTAGACTATATCAAGAAAAAATGTGAATAAGTCTTGCTTAATGTATGATTCATTTTACCATTTATCAAGAACGAAAAAGATAGAAAAAAAAAGAAAGGCAAAGTACCCTTGAAGGTCCGTTAGTGGTATAAGTAGGACTGTTTATGGAAATCTTTAGCCAATCAAATGCAATTATTATGTAATGGCAGCTGAACATAATGCTTTTACAACTTGTACTCAAGAGCAGCATTTATTCCCTGAATATGTTTATGCAATCAAACATATAAATGGGGTCCTTGTCATTCTTTTTTGTTTATTATTGAATTATTAAGCTTCAGAAGTATCCATTGGATCAGCAGTAGCTCTGGTAGAGGTATCATCTCTGGCTGATTCTGCGGCTATTGACTCTGAAGCAGAAACATCGACAGGTGCTCTTGTTCTTGTTGTATCATCAAGCAAATCCAAATAGTTTTGTAATGCATCACCTTCAATGATTTCAAAGGATCTGTTCTCACCTACAATACCAAGAGATGTGTTATGGATGTTTAATTCCTTATCTTGCTGCAATGTATCACGAAGGGCTTGAAGTCCATGACGGACAAGTTCTTCCAAAGAAGCTATTATGACGTGAGTTATTGTTCCTACATCTTTGTCACATTCAGCTCACCATCTGAAAATTCTTCATAGTGTTTTTCAAGATATGTTTTAGCTGATTGAGATCGAGCACCAATGGACATTGCGTGGTACTCAAAGCTTGTACCAGCAGGAGAGCATTCAAAAAGATGAGGTCCAGTTTCCTAATGATATCCTTATTAATCGCTTTTTTCTCTTTGCCCTCCCTCCCTCCTTTTACTGCTTACATCATATCCAATAACCAATAGACCTACACCATAAGGTCTACGTCCATACTGTTGAGTGTTTACTTGTGCCTCTACACAAATAGAAAGAGATGAGATGTTGCTTTTGCTTGGTTATCATTCCAACTCACTGTCCGCAATAGCATTGACAATTCTTTGAACGGGCAAAGGTCTATCATATAACATCTTTGACCTCATAGCTTCTGTACGCATATAGTTACTGTTCAATAAGTGAGTGACTCATATCTTCAAAAATAAAAGTATTTACCTCAGTACACGAGCATCAGAGGTCAATCCAGCAATACCGATGCCCATGTGGTCATCAATCTTTATCAACTTTTTCTGGTAAGAGGCAAGTTCACCAGAAGAACGCTAATGAAAAATGTAAGAAATACATCTCGAGTAATTTAATATGTACCTTGAGAGCAAGCAAGATGGCATACTTTTTGCTTCTCAAACCAATAGCTGCAGAACCTTGTTTTACAGCTTCAACTGCATATTCAACTTGATGAATACGTCCCTGGGGTGACCAAGTGGAAACGTCGTTATCGTACTGATTTCTAAACTGGAAAAGTAAAAAAGAACATGTCAATAGCCAAATTGAAAATAGTTGAATGTAGTTTTTACCATGTTTATATGAAGACTTTGAAATAAAGAAAGAAAAAGAAAAAAATAAAGTACGCGTGTGTATGTGTGTCTGTTGTTTTGAACGCGCGGCCTAAAAGTAAGTTTTGTCTGATGACGTTTTTGCGGCGATTTATTTTATTTCTCCACAACCATACAGTTGTTCCAATAGATTATGTCGTTCTTTCAGAAATAAAATATGGCATATTGCACAGGTCGTTCCAATTCATAAGAATGGCCCTCCATTAGGCCCATGTAGCCACTGTCCAATTAGCTTAACCACAATTCTTAGAAAAATCCTGGAACGCTGTATACAACTCACATTGGCAAGCGAAGGGCCACCACTGGATATTGAGCAAGGGGGATTTCGTGAATCTCGTAGTGCTTTGGACCATGCTTTATGCCTTTCTGCGATCTGTCAAATACTACGTTCACAATTCCACATCATCCCGGTCTTAGCCTTCCTGGATATAAAATCCGTGTATGATACGGTTAACCGTAACTTCGTTTGGGAAACCCTCAGTCAATATATCTCACCTCCTTTACTGGGCCTACTACGTAATCTTTTCGATGACGTCCAAATCGAAGTTCTACTTTCTAATGCTACTTCTCGTTGATTTCGTCCAAAAACAGGTTTTTTACAGGGTTCCATACTCTCACCGTATCTTTACTCGGTATACATCAACCAACTACCAGCTCAACTACGCACTCAAGCTTTTCCATCTAGCTCGTCATCGTTATGCTGACGATGTAGCCCTCATTATCGAACGCTCAAATGTGGTTGACCTACTGCGGCAATGCGAAAATCATAGTATACAAATGGGATACAAATGGAATCCATCTAAATGCGTGATTTTGGACAGTAGCACAGATCCAATTGCATACCCTTTACGATCAGCCATTACCAAGAGAAACAATTTTCGCATACCCTGTCGTCCCCTTTAAACCGGATGGGCACCTCGATCTAGAAGAACTAATTCAACGTAATACCCATAAGACTCTTGCAACGATGAACATGCTGTCATCTGTTGGTGTGAATCCTTCCGGCTTCTCCAAACTTCTTTGCACCAGGTTTTACGCTTACATCGTTCGACCTCAGCTTGTATACGGAAATGGATATGACCTTGTATAATTGAGTAAAATAATGCTTCCCACTTTAAGATCAACATATACTTCAATTGAAGAGTCGTTGGAGATTTTATTCAGTTTTAAGGTAGAGTCGTTATTATTATAGACACTAAACGGTCATTTAATTCGAACATAACGGGCATCAATTATCAACACAATGCAAGATACTTCCGAATATGAACAGCCCTATATTTACCGTGAATACTATAATTATCTCAAACCGACAGTTTCTTTTATTTAATTCCTCCAATTAGTATATCCACTTCATTTCAACATTCTTTCTTTTTTTAAAAAACTATTGTTAATGTATCAAGTGTGCAATTAATATACACAAAGTACTTTTTTTTCTCTCAATTCTTCTTGGAGTATATTAGACATTGACTTATGAAGCTAGAAGTAGCTGGACCTGCTACTTGAAGAGAATTGCACAGCAATTATCCAGGATGGAAAATTAAAACGGGATTATATCTTGTCAGGCGTTCTTACAGTTCAATCCCAGGAGCAATCCCCAGTTAAACCAAAAATATAATTGCTAATTAACATGTCGTATTCATATACGAACAAACGTACACTCTTTCCAGAGGCCACTGGGACTCAAATTAAAAAACATACAAGGCAAATACAAATGGTAAATTTGAGTATTGATAAAACCTAAAATCCAGAAGTTTTTTTCAAAACGAAATTTTATCTCTGGATAGATGACATTTTGCGCCTATGCGAACGACATTTTATTTCGTTTAAACATGATATTTTATTGATGGTCCAGATGGGCGTAAAAATAAAATAATAAGATAAACGTCCGCCTGGATCCGTTCAATCCGTTTGGAAGTGAATGTTAGCGAAAAACCCCTTATAGGTTCAAGGGTAAAAAATGTAAAAGGAAATTAATGAGTAGGGTTTATCGATGAAAAATTAAATGAATTGCTTTAACCACACAAGAAGCTTTTGACTATGTGGATGCTTAGTAGAGATCAATTTGTTATGGTGTAGCTGATCTAATTCATGTAGTAGGGAGCATGTAATCGGCCATCGTTGAGACCAGGTGAGGGCTAGGTTTGGGGAAACCGAAGGGCGTAAAGGAAGCATATTCAGAAGGAATGACAATGGATCTCGTATAGTTTCAGGCATGAACAGACGTCGATGCATATCAAGTCAACTAATAGCGTGATTCTTAGATAGCTGTTGCTTTGAGTGCTTGGGACATGGTCGAGGTTTACCACCAGGAAGCCAGTCTAGTCTCCAGCGTATACAGCGACTGCACTCTGACTTAGACATGGTAACCAGAGTATAGGGTCCAGAGAGGTTGATCGACGGCAGATAGAAAGCAATTTGGAGTTTCGGCATCGTTGGCGGACCTCTAGTCGCAGGCATCAGGAGAAGGTCAGGATATAGGCCGTGCTTCCTCAGATCCTCTCGTATAGTAACCCTGAGTAATTTCTGAATTAAACCACAAATAGCCTTGACGAATTTTTATTCTACAGTTTGGGGAGTATTATCTTTTTTGGACTTTGCAGTGCCCTTTTGTAGTGCCCCCAGTATTACCCGTATTTTGTGCGTTCTACCTTTTATTTTATATTCTTTCAATAAACATGCCAAAGCTTATTTTTATAAATATGGAATCTCAAAACACTGAACAGGAAGAACTATGGCTTTTCAAGCATTTAATGTATAATTTGCAGAAGATTACATTTTCGTACGAAACCAAATTGAGTGTGGCTGTATTTTCTCTTCATATAATTAAGAACAGTCGCTAAAAACATGGGACACTAAATGATGCCACCATCAATCCTTTTAGCTACAAGCATCCACTTGTCTAATTAGCCAACAATTGTATAATTGGTACTATATTTTATTATTTTATAACTATTACATATCTAACAAATAAACAGTTGGTTTTATTTTATTTCTCTAATCTATCATTTCTTCTTTTGATTCTTCTTTTTGCCTTTCTTTGATGTAGAAGGACTGTTGATATATTGTAAAACTTGGTCAATAGGAAGGTCACCACGAACAGGCTCAGAGGTAGAAGCAGGTGTGGCCATGGCTCTTGTTTGTTGCTGTTGTTGTTGCTGTTGTTGCTGTTGTTGTTGACGAGCGCGTTGAGCCATAAGAACAGCGTTCGATGTCAACTCCTTCAACCACAAGTCGCTATCCTTTGTACGAGGGTCTTCAGGTCCAAGTTTCTTTTCAAAGACACCATAAGCAATTTTTTCAGCAGCCAAGGCCTTTGTAAAGTCACCTTCGAGGGTATATGCCTTTGCAAGAACGTGATATCCTGTTGCTGTTATGACATGATCTTTACCCAATACTGTTTCTTGAGTTTCACAAGCTCTTTCAAAGAACTTAGTACTGGTAGGATAGTCACGAAGAGATTGAAGCATGACGCCAGCATTGTTCTTTATAAAAAAAAATAAAAAAAAGTTAGTAACAAGCTCATCATTCTCTTGGATATCTTACATCAGCAGTAGCTGAATCAGGATGTCCAGGTCCGATCAAAAGATCCCAATAGTTCAATGCGTGACCAATATAACGAAGAGCAAGTTTAGTACGGCCAGCTGCGTGCTCAAACAAACCAAGATTCAACTAGTAATAATAGATGAGATTATTGTTGTTGTTTTAAAATAACGATAAACTTACATAATGATGAATTGTCTCTGGATGATCTATACCACAGGTTCGCTCAGCAGAGATAACAGCCTTACGCTGAAGATCCAATGCGGACTCACGATCTTCGTTATGATGATAAATCATGGCCAATGTAGCATAACATTTACTGGTTTCAGGATGAAGGAAACCATACGTTTGTTCATGAAGAGCTAAAGATTCGAGCAAGAGTTCCAAGCCAAGCTGCTTGTGGCCCTGAGCAATGCTCATCTTGCCAGCTTCGAAAGTTTCCTCTGCAAAGACGCTTCGAGCAGCAGCTTGCTTTACGGTAGGCATGATGTTCATAATATCATCAGGCAAGAAGGTAGTCGTGCGTCTAGAAGGACGCTGCAGGTTGGCATTGCTCTTTTTGGACTTTTTACCACGGTTACTTTCTTGCTTCTTTCGTTCGATGGCAGCCTGGTAAGCAGCATCCTCAGCTGCATGGGCTGCTCGTTCTTCTTCTGTGTAGGGTTCAGTGCGATAATCTCTGGCTTGAGTCTGGATACCAACGCGCAAACAAATTTCACGCAAGGTAGGGACCAACTTGAGCTGGTCAAAGTCTTCTTCAGTGAGCTTGTAGCGGAAACGAAGAAGAACCTGTTTGATCAACAAGTTTCTGAGAGTATGAGGTGTAAGCTGAGACCATGCATAGTCGTTTCGGTTGGCACCTTCGGGTAGTACGGGCAAAGGCTTAGGGTTGAACTTGGCACCAAGTAAACAATTCAAAAAGTGAGAGACACAGAGAGGAGCTTCTTCCATGCTGCAATCGACAAGGTAATTGCGAAGAACACGCTTAGAGGCACGGACAATCATTTCTCGAATAGCAAGGTGGAGAATATGTTCGATACGCTTGTCTTTACTGAGTGAGACCAATTCGGCAAGCTTACCAAGGTAACGCATGTTGATACCGCGACGGTGCATAGCCTTGGTGAGCGCATCACCATCAAGAGGCGAGATAGCGTAGGAAGCAAAATCGAGAACAATGCTGGGTACAACCTCATCCCTTAAAAACTTGGATGCTTCACGGATAATGTCTTGTTGCTTCTTGATTTCGTCCGTGGGTTGCTTGGCAGAGGTAAAGACATCAGGATTGAAGTTGAGTTGGAATTCATTTACATCAATCTTGATCTCTTCCTCTTGTTGCTCTTCCTTCTTGTCTTCTTCTGCCTTGTTTTCTTCAGTTGAACCCTCAGCTTCCTTCTTTTCGGTATCAGCAGTGATGCCTCTTTCCTTTCTGATTTGTTCGGTCTTTTCCTTAACCCATTGTCTGAACTTTTGTTCCCAGAAAAGGCTCATCAGTTCAGGTCTTAACAAAGTCATCTTGTGAGGATAGGCAGGCTTATCGTCCTTTTCGACGCACTCGTTTTCTTGGAACTCGATATCAACAGGATTCAATCTGTAGAGATCCAACATGTAACGACGGCCGTCAGCACCTAGAAGGCCCTTGGTTTCCTGAGAGGTAAACAATGTGTGCTTGTCACCCTTTTCATCAATGACAGCATGTTCTTCCAAGTGAAGGGATTTAGCAATTTCTTTACCAATAGCTTCATGAAATTTGGAATCAGATGAGATCTTTGCCCCGTTATCGACTGAACCGTATACGATAGCATCTTCATCTTGACGACGGAAGATACCAGGAACAATACTCTGAGCTACAATACGGATACCCTTATAGTCAACGATAACGCTGGCCAATGTGTAAAGTCCTTCAGGATCAATACTGTTGAGAAGTTTGACGCCTTCGAGGTCCTTGCCAGTAGCTACATGAGCAGCCTCATCAGCACCCAAGTTTTCGAATGTACCACGTCCATCATTTCCTTTACTGAAAAAGATGTTGTTGTATACGTACATGTGAGATGTTTCGGGCTCAAGAGGGTTTAATGGAAGCACAGATCCGTTGACGACAGCCATAGCACCACGAACAGCAGCCTCTGTGAATTCGGCTTGAACCTTGGTGATCAAGCGTTCACGAAGCACACGTTCTTGAAGATTTGTCTTGGGAAGTTCACGATGAGACTGAAGTTCATCATTCCAGTCACGAAGAGATTCGACTGCATCTGCTCCAAAGTTAAGTAGAGGCTCTACAGGCCTAGCAGGATCATAAAAGTGCTCAGGGCTTTCGACAGCCCAAGGATGGCTGGGATAGCAAGTGTTGACAGGAAGCACTTCAAGCATGTGATGCTGTGTGATAAAATCTTGTAGTTTGGCAAAGTTGGCTGCAAACAAGGGTGAAATCTTTTGCAAGAGGGTGATTAATGAATGAGCAGAGACACGCTTAGGTGAAGGATCGAATACGTGGTGGTTGGAATTGTTGACAAAGAATCCCTTGGTAGAAGCAGTGATGTGTACAGTATCATTTTCTAATGTTGTGACAACGAGATACATCAAATCACCTTTCAACTTTCGTTGATGAGGCACTGGGTTCCATCCAGAGAGTGTTAAGCTTCGAAGACACTGAGGTGCCATTTTCTGAAAGCCGCTGGGCACAATGTTGGAAAGTTTAAAAGGTTCATTGATGTCCTTGTTGGTAAATGTGTGTTCAGGAATAGGCTCGTCAGAAAACAAATCATCCAATTTCTTTTCAGCTTCTGAAACGATTTCTTCGTCTAGCGTAGCTTGAGTTAGCAAGTCTTTTTTTTTTACATTTATTAACAAATTACCGATTTCGCCCGTGACAGCCGTTAAAAAGGAAATGGCTGGATCAATGCCAATGGATGATGGACTTGGTTTATAAGGTCCACCCAAGAGGTCACGAAGACGAGTGATATGAAGCCTAACATCATGTTCAGTGTAGTTGGCTAGTCATAAAAATGTCAGTATCCCTTATATATATTCACACAACTCCCTTACCTTCAACAAGTTCAAGCACACTATCAGCCGCGATGCCTTCTACTTCACCCAACTCAATAAAATCATTAATTCTCTTTCCATTAAAGCTCAAGTAAAAGCAAGAATGAACACAAGTCTCGGGGGATTCCATAATAGATTGCTTGATATCTTGAATTGATTCACGAGGACTTGTCTAAAAAAAAATAGATGAGTTTATGTGTGCTATTCAACCTTTTGCTCTATTTTTTTTTACAATGATTTTGATTTCATGAGGCTTTCCAGGTAATTTGATGGTTATCTGAAAAGTTTCATCAATGACTAAATAGTCAAAACTGTCAATTATTTCACCCCTTTTTTTTTTCTCTCTGTTTCCTGTCAAATATACTACCTTCCTCAGGGGGTGCCTGGCTGTCCAAGTTCTCGACTAATTGCTGTTCTTTTACTTCTGCCATGAGCTACCAGACAAGAAGTAAGTTTAAAGAAAAGAGACAGACATACGCACACGCGTGTAGACCATTTACCTTTTTGGTGCTTTCACCTGTAAAAATAAAGCAAGTAAAAGAAAAAAGTGTGAAAATGAAAAAATGCTAATCTGGCGAGGGTTGTGCAAGGGATTTTTTTTTTTGCTTGCTTTGAAACAAACGGGGTTTGTATTTTCTGAATGATAGCTTAAATAATTCTACCCTGCTTCTTTATAAAAATAAACAATCTATAAAAGACAGGTATTCTAACTCTAAGAATATCTTATAACACTATTTGGATCAGTTTACATCCTTGAAATATAAAGGGAATCATGAATTGTCTTGTAAATAGCCAGCGCACAACTCCGATATCTATGCGAGATTTACCCACGATTATTAAGTTGATGTTGACTAAAGCTTTGATACCCGTGAGCAGTGTTATGAGAGTTTATTAAATCTATTGTCTTTCTTTATTTCTTCTTTTTATAAGCATTTGGATTTCTTCGTCCAAAGCCAATGACATCTGTACCAAACATATTATTTGTCACTTCCCTTGTATTCGTCTTTCCGTATAAAGGAATGAAATCGGGATCAAACATGTCTACTAAAGCTTTCTTCTTTTTAAATTGATTTGCTTTGATATATTCACGTTGATCTTCTCTCAAAACAATGTTATTAGCTTTACGCCCACCCTTTGGACGAGGAATATCATATTTAGTGCCTCTCAAGTTGTATTGATAATTCTTTTTTAAATGATACTGAATCTCTCCTTTGCTGTTCGTACTGCATGTCACACGTTGAAGTGTAGCATTTCCACATTTTGGACAAAATTTCTTTTCCATATCACTCGTTACTCTGTTTAGGCGTTAGCTTTAAATAATCATATACTCTTTTTTATCTTACGTGAAGCAAGCATGACATCTCATCACTGAATTTCTAATCTTTTTAACTCGATATCCACCAGGAGAGACTAGATTCAAATTCATCTGCAACAGGACGTTTTGCATGGCAAAATCAGCTGTCATACAACCCACTTTCATCGTCTCTGCTTGTTTCAATTCTTCAGGAGTCACGCCAATCTCAGCTGCCTTGTACTGATCTACGTTTTCGGGTGTGATCCATTCACCGTCGTCTTCATCCTCTTCTTCAGTCAAAGGAATATCTGTTGATAACTCAGGTTGCTCAGCATGATCTGACTCCTGTTTAGCCTCGATCGTCTCTTCTTTAACCTTTTTAGTTTCATCTTCCGCTTTTTCTTCTGTCTGTGTTTCTTCCTTCTTTGCCGTGGCTTCATATTTTACAGTTTCCTTATCATTGATATTTAATTGTTGTACTGTTTTTGTGATTTGACCAACATTATATTTCTTGTTTGATTTCTTCTTGGGGATAGATACTTCCCAACCATCTTCATCGACAACCTTGGCTGGAGCAGGGTTTTTGATATATGATCTTGGTGGTGGTGCACTTGGAAGAGTACCTGTAGGCCTTGTCTATACTCTAGTGTCAAAAGTCGTATTACATAAACAAAGATAACTTACCACAAGCGGTTCTTTGCGAATATTAGCATCACCATTCTCTCTTTTCTCGAGAGTGTATGTAAGAGCAAGCACTTTCAAGTCAGGAACAGAAAGCACACCATAGTCGCCTGTCTTTTTGGAAAATTCGATAACTGCATCATGTTAATATCCTCTAACAAAATTCATTTCTTTTTCTTTTTACCTGCTTTCATAGATTCTTCAGAAGGGTTCAACAGTTTTAATTCGAAGGGTAATCTAGTCAAAAACTCTCTAGAATGAGCACTTCTTACTTCATTGAGCACTTCTGGACAAGTATAGTATTCTTCAGCCAAGTTTCCAAGTGTTGTACCATTAATAATAGCATTCGTATCTACTATCAAACACTTTAATGTCTCTTTATGAGATGATGTAGCAGCAATGGTTGATTCAGACATGGTAATTATCTACACACAAAGAAAAAAAGTTTCTTTTTTTTAGAAGGAAAGCGAAGTCGTAGTCACAAAGTAGTCACAGTAGCCATTGAGGACAAAGCAGTAACAATGGCAACATCAATGGCTGTGCTCATTTTGCTGTATGGCGCGCACATTAGCAATTTACCTTTGACGATACGCCATTTAGTCTCTCTATTGTGTCTCAACACACACTCTCTAAATAAAATTCGGTCTATTGACTCCTGTAAAAAAATGATTTCCACAGTTTCAATCATGTTTGCCCACTGTAATCTCTTTGTACATATTATCATGCATATGAGATATTGAGAAACCGTGAGAGCATCAGCACCGTCAGTGACAGCAATGATCAAACAAACACTAATACATCCGTACATCGTTATCAGTCCTTTTATGAGAATGCGTTTGATTGAAGGAGGTGACAGACGTGCCCAGAATGCGCCAACAATGGAGATTGCGACGGTTACTGTGGTATGGTGTGGGATTGCGATATGAACAGTGCATTAAATATATGTGGTATCTTTGTTTACAAATCAAAGCATGACGATGAAATCCCCTCTCCCCTTCAAAAAGCCTTTACCTAACAAATTATGTTGCTTGTCTTCTTTATTTTATACTTTCGACCTTTTGCTTCATATGAGTCAAACTGCATGTTTTACCTTTTTCTCAAACAAGTTGCATAAATATGAAATGGGCTTGTGCTACTTGAGTCGCTGTACTCCTGAAGACAGGATTTTCAAGGTAGATAAAATCAAATTAAAGGTCCAAGCTTCTTTTTGTAGGTATTTCTTTAGATTAACCAATTCTCAATATTCTTATAAACTAGCCATAGCCAACATTACTACTTTATGTCAATAGTATTGAAACTGGATTGCTCTCGTTTTTTCAGTATTGATAGAAGCATCACTTGGCATGGCGCTAAAAGAGAGCGTTTATAAACATAGTAAACGCATTCTATGCATGAAAAGTGAAAAGCATAACTCCTTTTTCTATTTGACATAGTCAGCAAAGATTAAACATGTCTATTTTTCCCCAATGATAAATAGAAACCAACGTCCAAGCGTGTTTGGTTGCGAATGACTTTGTTAAACATATTCATCTTATCACATTTCTTTCAAAAATATAATAGATACGTGTCAAGTATACAGAATTACCTAGTCTCATTTATTTCAGCAGCTCCTTTTCTTTTTCTTTTTCTTTTTTTAATCTAAATGGAGATTAATGAACAACAATCAAGCGAGTTTTCTGGAGTAATAAGGAACGTCAAGTCGTTTCTGAGCTTGATAAAATGTATAAACATAAAGAATGTGAGTGTTTTTGTTAGCTTGTGTCAGTCATTACTTAAATTAACTATAGATAGCTACGTGTTATATATACGATGAAGGAATGACATTAACAGTAGAAGAATCTCGATGTGTAAAAGCAACTGCTTACTTCAGAAGACACATGTTTCAAGTATATTCTAAGCAAGCCAATACAGAAATCCCCATGTTTGGATTACCGTTGAATGCATTGATTGATTGCTTTGGACTAATGGTTCCTCACACGAGTAATTCGAAATCACAAGTAGACAGCTGTGAGATTCGATATAATGGACCTGGATCTTATTTAATTCTCAAGTATATGTTTAATATTTGATATCTAAAACTATTATTCACACGTTTCTTAGACGATTTGATAGAGACTTTGGACAGACAATTCACTGTAAATTAAAGCCTATGGAGCCACAAGAAGAAGATGTAGACACTATATTAACAGGAACAAACACCAACAATCAAAAAATGATATTAAAGGTTATTTTATACATACAAGAAAAGAATATATAACTGACACACACAGCTTAGTCTGATTGGTTAAAGAGCGTATTTGAAGATTTAGACAAAAGTCATCAGAGGATAACCCTCAGCTTTTCACCAAATGATCCATCATTGACATTAACAGCCATTGGACCAACAAGTAAATGGGAATCATCTTATCCTCAGAGCTCAGAGCCATTTATCAGTTTTGAATGCGATCGAGAGTTAACATTTAGGTAATAGAAAAGATGAGTAGGTTACACACAATAGATCATCTTGATTTGTATTAGTTATCAATATGACCATATTAAACTATGCAAGAGAGCTTTGGAACACTCAATTGAAGTCTCTATTGAAGTATCACTTAATGGAGTACTCTACTTACTCGTAAGTCTTTACTTGGATTGACAACATTCATATTGATGATTAGCGTAGTTTCAAATTGAAGGGAGTAGCAGTACAAAAGATTATATTGAATTTACAGTAAGTTAGATTTGATTATCAGCAAAGATAATTTTTTTTTTTGACATTCTGCATTATTTAGTTTTTACCTATTGGCTCCACAACAAACTAAATAAGGAAATATCGCTGAGATTGTCGTTAAAGTCACAACTCATCTAAACCTGTTCTACATATAAATACGCAACTCTTTCTTTCTCTTTTTCTTCTTGTTTTAATTTCTTATAATAAATATATATACATCATGTCAACTTCTATCGCTACTACTGGTCCTCATCTTTGGCTTCGTGCTGAAACCAAGCCCATGGAACACAGAGCTGCATTAACGCCTGCAACTGCAAAAGAATTATTAAACGCCGGCTATAGAATCACCGTTGAACGCTCTGAAGAACGTATCTTTGATGATGAAGAATATTCAAAGTAAGAGTTACAGTTTATCATTTAGATCATACAATTTACATAATATGTTGTAGTGTTGGCTGCACCCTTGTTGATAAACTTAGCTGGAAGACAGATGCTCCTGCTGATGCCTACATTGTCGGTTTGAAGGAGCTTCCTGAAAATGATACTTCTCCACTTCATCATACCCACATCTTCTTTGCTCACTGCTTTAAGAACCAAGCTGGCTGGAAAGAACTACTTCAACGCTTTGATGCTGGCAAAGGTACCATCCTTGACCTTGAATTCTTGAATGACTCAAATGGTAAGTACTTTTGTTTTGTGTGGGCCCCTTCTCGTTTTTCTAAATAGCGTGTGTACTATTATTATTAGGTCGCCGTGTGGCTGCTTTTGGTTATATGGCAGGTTTTGCAGGTTCTGCTGTTGGTATTGATGTTTGGTGTCACCAAAAGACGAATCCTGGTGAAGTCTACGGTGCCCTTACTCCTTATCCAAACGAAGATGCCTTAATCAATTATATCAAGGGACGTTTAGCTAATGCAGGTAAGTTATACATGAGATTCCAATAGAGCTTCTTTCTTTTTTTAACTTGTTTTATTTTAGCTGCTTTAAACAACAATCAATATCCAACGGTCATGGTCATGGGTGCTTTAGGTCGCTGTGGTACGGGTGCCTGCGACTTTGCCCGTAAGGCAGGTATTCCTGAAGAAAACATCATCAAGTGGGATATAAATGAAACCAAGAATGGTGGCCCTTTCCCCGAGATTCTTGAAGCTGATATCTTTGTTAACTGCATTTATCTCAATCAAAAGATTCCTCCATTTATCACTCAAGAATTAATAGATGGTCCTCGCAAACTTTCTGTCATTTGTGATGTCTCTTGTGATACAACTAATCCTAATAACCCTATTCCCGTTTATTCTATCAACACTACGTTTGACAAGCCTACGGTCCCTGTCAAGACATCGAACCCCTATCCTTTGGAAGTTTGTTCTATTGATCATCTACCTACACTCTTGCCTAGAGAAAGTTCAGACATGTTCTCTCGCGATCTTTTACCCACTATGCTTGCTTTGAAGAATCGTCATGAATCCCCTGTTTGGAATGGTGCCGAAAACTTGTACAAGGAAAAACTTGAAGCATCAAGATCAGCCTAAATACATCCTCATCTTTTCTCACGCTCCCATCTTGTATAGTAAATAGAAACTTTATTTTTCATTTTGTATATCCTCTAAAATAAAAAACGATGCAAACTTCGACAAAAAAAAAAGCATATATTATGTATTCACAACAGTATAGGGTCAACATTTCTTTTAATTATGTGAAAAAAATGACTGAACAACACCAACTGTTAGCTCGTTACCTTACACGTTGTATCTGTCTTATAAGTAATCGTGTGAAATTAGTTTATGCCCATACTTTAAGAACGAAGCCCACTCATATTCAGTCGCCCCTGTTCTTGATTACTGTCGATATTCTAATAATTAAGTATTCATGCCAATAAATACTGTTTAACTTTCTTCCTTGATCTAAAAAAAGAAATTAACAAAAAAGCTCCTCGACTTATCAGACTTCACATCAATTCTTTTTCAGTCAATATGACAGTGATGAAGCATGTATAAAGGTAGCTTGTGTCTTGAATCAAGCTAACAACAGACTTTATCACAAGGTTAAGTAGAAATAGAGTTTCTTGTGATTGCAAAAAGATTTACGATATCACAAACAATGCATTATCAATGCGTAGCAAAACTTCAGCAAGCAAATAAAACACGAAAACTACCACAGCATGCTACCAAGGGAATATCTACTCTGCTATTCTTTAGGCATTATTGACAAATCCTAATAAAAGCACGCTACTTTGATGGCCCAGCGTAACAGCAGAAGAAAAATGGTGATATTTGCACTGAATCCATGATTTCAAAAAAGTAACAGTTGAAATTTGACATTAGTTTGGGGCACGTAGTAGCAACCTCATTTCAAAACCTCCACTTTACATTCTGGAATGGCCGCGTTGTTGCTTTATTGCAAATAAAGCCTATTTAATATGCTTCAATCTCACTTATGTATAGTCTCCTTTATACTCCTATTGTTACTAGTTTTTGTCTCTTACCTTGGGTTGGTTCATGTATACAGTGTTATTTATGGGTTTTTCTGACCTATCTTGTCACTATGTAGCTTAGATACTGTATTAATGAATACAATTCATGTAAACAAAATGACATACATTTTCTTTTTTACTTATCATGAAGTCTGTTATATTCTACCACTACGGTATCTCCTTTTTGCTTCCTTTCTTAACGATGCAACCTGAAATTCGGGGTATTAATTGCCCGGTCGAAGGATGAGGCAGGAAATTCTAATACTATTCCAAATGAACAACCTTTCAGATATTTCAAGTATTTAAAATATTGTTGCCTTAACTCCATCTCTCATTTGAGAACACAAAAAAGATGTTTTTCAAGCTATACGCAGCAGAGTACGGTATAAAGGCAGAAGAACGATTTTATTTCAACTCACTGTTTTTTTTGTATTAATATAGGTTTTTGAAATCAATATTTGATTATTGCTTACAGTAAGACACCAACAGACGTTACCTAAAGCCAAGATGTCGTTTGTGGCGTTCATTGCTTTCGGAACTGCACATTTGAATATCTTTTTTGAGCAGTATAGCTTCGACGAGCAGAGCTCAAGCGACCACAAATGAACTGCGTCATCTAAGTAATAATGAAACAAGAGTCAAACAGTTAGCTTTCTAGGTTAGGCTACATTATCAGTGATTAATAAAAATTGCTTACGTCTCGCATGTACAAAAGGAATTTTCAGGCTTCCTATCGTCTGTTTGGAAGCCCAGCAGTACTTCTTGTAAATATTGTTAAAGATGGTTAACGACCCAAAGTTGCCTTTGGTATGGTCGAAGCCATATTTGGTATTGTCACGTAAGAATAACTTTCTAGATGTCTCAAGAAGACATATTTCCATAGCATCATGAATAATGCACGCGTCTACCTTATTTGTCTCTTCTAACGCCATCAAGATATATTCTCCAGGAATAAATTTCAAATTATATTCATTTATGCTATCGGCCACAAATCCCATAGTCTGCCAAACAAATAAATGATTAAAGCTATTTTCACTAGTTTGTAAACTATTGTACACATCAGGCTTCCCGTAAATTGATATACTAAAGAGATGGAAAAAAAACGAGTTTGAAAAAAGTCAAGTTACCAATCTAATCTAACGAAGCAATACCACAGCTCGAAAAATTCTTCTACGAAACTCAATACTTCGATAGAACTGCTTTCTTCGTAACCTGAATCTCGCATCACCTTCTTAACTGCTTTGACGTCATTCTAAAAGGATACACACTGTTAAGTTTATTTAATATCCCTTTTGTTCAAATTAATCAATCCAGCTTACATTTGTCATAGCAGCTAAGACATTGCTTGTGTATTTGATGTATGCCTTGAACGGTGTTGTCACGCTGTGATTACTAGTAGATACATGGAAATATAGCTCTTCTGGTACGTTAGGATTACATTTAGTAAAATATCCACACTTGATAATGTGATATAGCTCGAGGCTAAAGACTATTGTATTCAGCTTTGTTATTGTAAAGAGGTTATTAAGTCAATGACTTGCGAATTAGATTTTTTATAAAGAAGAGCTGCATATTATTAAATTAAGTTTGTGTAAGAGTTTTATAGGGAATGCTAATGCTGTCAGTATGATAAATGTAGTCAATGTGGCTATTTATGCTTATGTTGTTATTGTTATACTAGCAGTTACTGTAGTTATTATAATTATAAGCTATTCTTATCAGATGCGATAGAGGAATGTAAAGTAGAATGTATGCTCAACTGTAAGATTATACTCGAGTTATTATAATGATTATCTCATCAAACACGTCAGACTTGCAGATACTACTCTAACGTGCTGCATGAGTGTCGTAGAACAATGTCTGCTTAAGGACTGACATTGAGATAAACAATTGTAATCAGTATGAATAGAGTGAATTCATACATTATAAGATTACATGTACACACTTTTAGTGATAAGTCAAATTAAATAGAATCTCTCTTTTGAATATGAATCATTACTTCTTTATATAAAAGGATATACTTCTTTAAAAGATTATCCTTCTCACGGTAAAAGCAGTAACATAATCCAGATCATGAAATAAACAATAAGATCAGTGTCAGGGACGAATTAAAAGTTTTCTTTATGAATTCAGGAACCGTTAGTCAATCACATCCTCAGTAATTATAATCCACGCTTAGAATAGTGGCTTACCAGCCATTTGATAGCAACTATAAATAGTAGAACCTTTACTTAATTGTATGTTCCTTCTGTCTTTATCTCAGAATAAAGATTAGTCTCAAAGAGTACTTCTTTTGCCTTTGCCTTGTGTCATTTAAACCATTACATAACAATGAGAACCAATTTGGAAGAATAATGGGGGCAGTTGCACTAAGAGAACTTGAGATCGACAAAAGTACCAAACGAGCTGATCTCAAAATATGCGAGGTTCGAAGGTCAAAATTCCAGTGACGTAACTGAGGTTAGAGCTCCGGCACTTCTTTAGGCTACTTCACCATGTATTTCTTTAACATCTTACTGTACAGCCACTCCTGCCAATCAGTTACCACCAAAGCAAGGAAGAACGTACTTCCATGGTCACATGAAAGTCACGTGATTTGATTAAATGAAATAATTAAATTATATTATTTCTCAAAAAAAAATCCCGGCCTTAGCTCAGTTGGTAGAGCGGAAGACTGTAGTGAATGCTGTCATCTTTAGGTCACTAGTTCGAATCTGGTAGGCCGGATCGCCTAAATATATTTTTCGAGATTTTTCCGGATAATATATTAGCCGATATCATTTCTTCTTGTTATATTGTAAGGGAAAAGCTCAAATGTTGTTGTAGTGTGACATATCAGACGAGTTTGGTAATAGTGTAGCACAGTTTTCAAAAAAAAGAAAAAAAGAAAAAAAAACTTTAAATATCAAAACTCTAATTACTTTTTATTGTGACGATAACGACGATGAAGATGCGGTGTCACCCACCCACTTCTAAAGTCAGTCACTAGTGACACTGTGT